TGATGCGATTTCAAGTTTTCCTTTCTCTTTGGAGTGTTACAAGCTCTTGGTGCATAAAGAAGATCTGTAAAGTTGCAAAGACTAAAGTCTCAAACCCAAAATTATATTCTTTAAAAAAGTTAAGACTCGTCCACGGCCTCCTAAAACGCCTCGTTTAAACACACCCCAACATGTCTACGTCACTGTGTGGGAAGATTTGCATAACAAATGTAGCAAATGTACACGCAAAGAAAGAAGGCGTAACTTTATTGTTGTTACCGCCGCCGCCATGTCGTGGAGACGCTGTGTGTGTTTCGTTGTGAAAGCGAAACTACTTTGTTTGGTCTTCCAAAAGAGGACACAACCAGAAATCAGTGGTTCATTTGCATTTACAACACTGTTCCAGAACAGTTCAAACCAAATATTTGTGTGTGTGTGTGCAACGCATTTAACGGAGGACTGTTTCCTGAACCTAACGCGAGTTTTGAGCAGTCAGTGTAGAGTAGTGCTTGTTGTTTGTCCTTTCTCAGATCAGAAATGCAGACAAATGGTTTTATGTTTACGCGGCGCAATACGCAATGCAATGCTTAAAATGACAATATAAGTCATTATAATCCGTAATTATGTCCCCACTGGATGCAACAAATGCCTCGTTTGTAATGGGTTTTATTGGTTTTGTCTCGTCGCACCTGGAGTCAGCATCACAATATGATAAGGGGTGTAACATTTCCGTCACACGCTTGAGGTATTCGGCCAATCACAACGCACTGGAGCACTGGCCAATCACAGCACACCTCGCTTTTCAGAACGATGAGCTTTGTAAAAATCGACGCGTTTCAGAAAGGCGGGGCATAGAGGAGGGGCAAAGAGGAGAAACAATAATGTACATTATGTGGAAAATAATGTGTTTTTTTACCTTAAACCGCATAAACACAATGTATTACACCAAATACACAAAATAATGTTCTTTTTAGCAACGTCATATGACCCCTTTAAGCAAATGTTATGCACCACTGCTAAAAAAAAAACTAAAAAAAAAACTAGATGAAGTAGCCGACCTTACTAACCAACATTTTAGTTGATATATCTTTAGATTAAACCATACCTTCATTGAGTTACTATTCTTTGCTGTTAGCGGTCTTCTGTGGCTAAAGTTTCAGAGTTAGCAGTGCTGATTCAATAAGTGCTGAGAGCGAGTGTCTGCACAGACAGAGAAATGCATTACACAGCTCAAAATGAGACAGGCCAAGTGTTTGGTCAGTCAGATACATAGAGAAAGACAGAAAGGGCAAGACTGAGTGAAAGCGAGGGCTGCGGAAGGAAAGAATGACCTCGGAGAACAGCACAGAGGACAGACACTGGCATGGTACCCTGCAGTGAATGACTCAGGGGAAGCAGTAATCCCTGTAAATTTCCACTGTACAGTTACACTCTCTCATTTCAACACTCTCTATATCTTTCACTCTTAAACCTCTTATGTACTACATCTGTAATATCATGGTACTTTGATATATTCCACAATACTAAATCGTTTCCATATTCCAAGGAATTTTAAAATCGACCATCATATGGAGAACTCTTTGTTTAAACATGTCTTGAGAACACAAGAGATCAAATGGTTATCCGGTCTGTGAACAAACTGTATATTGGGCGTTCCTGCTCAGTCTCCGGGACTGAACTTTGACCCCCAACAAGTTATGAGCCAAACACACATGCAGACAAGAATCGATTGTGATGTCTGTTAATGCATGTCTGTATATCACATGCACTGATGCTTGGACTTGTTGCATTTACAGAACACAAAAGCCCTGAATACAGTGCACTAAGGAAGGGATAGTAATTGACAAAATGACTGGAGCCTTTGTCTGCTGAAGACGTCAATAAAATATACTCATCCAAATCCCACAATTACAATTGAATAGCCTGGGTGGAGCTATGGATACTTCACATTATATCTACAGGTGATGAGAGGTGTGCTTTCAGGCCTCTAATTTTTTCAATAACATGAACCAATAAAGATTTGACAGCCTTTATATTATGTGTTATGTATATTATAAGTTATGTGTATGTGCATTACCTTAAACCCTCTACTGAAAGTCCATTCTGCCAAAACTTTGACGCTTCAGGAAGTTCATAAACACATCATAAAATAATCAATATGAATCAAGCATGTCAAGCAAGTGTTTGAGCTTCCGTTGACCATATTTGATGAGCTCTATATTTTTTGCATTGATCAATTATGTGCATAAACACCTGTTGATCATATCAAGCAACTGTTCATATGGAAATCCTGTTCATATGGATTTCTTTTTCAATTTATTGATGAACTTTATTGTTTACTGAGATGGCGCCGACGATGATGGCTGCCTCCGTGGCGTGCTCCACAGTTGTTTTTATGTTTTTGTTAGTTTGTCCTGTCTTTAGTTATATCCCTGCAATCAGTTTCACCAGAGACAAATTGCTGGACATTCGGCAGTACACACCACCCGATATTTCACCGGTTTTCGATTATTCTGATGTTTTGCTGGACATTGTAGTCAGGGGAGCAGCGGCGCTGTTCAGACGCTTCAGGACGCGCAGACGGGGGAAGCGAAAATTGCTGGACAAATTGCTGGTGACGAGTCTGCTTACAGTCAGGAGGTTAAAGAGCTGGCTGTCTGGTGCAGTCTCAACAACCTGGAGCTCAACACGCTCAAAACTGTGGAGATGGCCGTGGACTTCAGGAGGAACCCCCTTGCTCTCCCTCCACTCACCATTATGGACAGCAATGTGACTGCAGTGGAGTCATTCAGGTTCCTGGGCACCACTATCTCTCAGGACCTGAAGTGGGATTATTATTTTTTTTTTTTTAACTGTGTTTTTTGTTCTGTCACTGTCATTCTGTTACACTGTGGAAGCTTCTGTCATGAAAACAAATTCCTCGTATGTGTAAACATACCTGGCAATAAAGCTCATTCTGATTCTGATTCTGATTCTGAACTTTAAGCATCAAAGTTTATGATAGTGAGTTTGGGTGCGTAGGAAGTAACCATTCATCTTGCTGAACTGGCTCGACGCCAGAGCAGTTGAACAGACAGGATAACTACCGAGATGGGGATCTGACGTCACTCACATACGCATGAACACTTCAGTACAATTACTGTCCACTTCTG